TTTTTTAAACGTACTTTGTATTCATATTTTCCGTAGAAAAATTGTGGTTTGTACTTTCATTTAAATGATGTCATAAAGGACTTAATTGTAGTTTAATAGCATGCCATGGCTTCAAATTCATAAATATTAATGCATACTGGTAACGTTTTAAAAGGAGATAACAGTCTTTGATCAATGAAAGTAGTTCATAACGATCACATATTATCCAGGAATGAAGATTAATGTTATGGTATCCCTGAAATAACAATCTATAACCGGTCAAAGTTTGGGGAATAACTTGACTTGAGAATGTCATTTTGTAGTGTTTGCCATATAGAGGGTAAGATGAATTATTGTTGACGTTGGAAGAAAACATTTCCATGTGAAACCCTTGGCAAATAACAAGCTTAAACGTTTTTGCTATTATGATAAACGCACGGGATGTATCATTATTTGTGAATTTGATGTGAAATCTACCAGGCATTTATGTATCATTATTTGTTCTGGCCGGTTGTTGAATGAGAAGAGGACATATTGTGGTCACTTTATTTCATTCATTGTAGTTGTTAAACCAATTGGTTGAGAATGTTTCAGTACTTATTGTGGTCACTTATTGACTTTTTTTTTTTGTGCAAAGTTTATTTTCTGGTGCTTATTCTCTTCCAATATAGTTCACCTTTAAACATTTTGATCACTTAACTTTAATTATATGTAGGCATTTAGAAGCAATGAAAAACAAACACAAAAAGGCGAAGACAGAAGAGAATGAGGACTTTCCTGGATGTGAAAAGATCAAATTTCAGGTCGGTACTCTAATTGGGACAGAGGCATCAATAGGTGTAGTACCGCTGTTGCATTTGAGGAACCAATCACACTGCCTGTTCAAATAGATTATACCCAGCTTCTCATCAATGAACAATTCGTGGATTCAGCATCAGGTGTGTTTTCATCCTTTGATTCAAAAAACTAAGTAGATATTTCGGTTATGATACCTTTTACAATATATTGTAGGCCTTCAAGTTTCTATCTTGATGTTCCTTCAATTCAAGAATGTGTAGTGAAACTGAATTTTTGCAAATTGTATGACTATAGGGAAAAAATTTCCAACCCTGGATCCCAGGACAGGAGATGTGATTGCTCATGTCGCTGAAGGTGAGGTTGAAGATGCCAACCAAGCAGTGTCTGCGGCTAGCAAAGCATTCGACCAAGGACCATGGCCAAAGATGACTGCTTATGTAAGAATATCACACATTGATAATTTGCTTTGTACTTTCTTTCCTTTGTTTCCTTCTTTATTCTTATTTTAACTTCAAACAATTTTGAAATATGAGTTACGTAATGTAATCTTTGTTGTTAAACTTTTTCAGGAAAGATCACGAATAATGTTGCGGTTTGCTGATTTGCTTGAGAAGCACAGTGATCATATTGCGGCTCTTGAAACTTGGGATAATGGGAAGCCTTATGAACAGGCTGCAAATGAAGAAATACCATTGGTGTGGTAAATAAAAGCTAATTTGGCATGGTAGAAATTAGCATATATGCTAATTTAGGTTGTGGTACATATGTCCTTTTTGTTAATTAATTTGGTTAGTCATGTATTATGTATGAAATGAAATTATTGACGTTGGATTAGACTTGGTTCGTATGGAATTTGTATTATATATAGAATTGGACGTTCAATATTTGTTTTGGATGGTTGGAGCTAAAATGTGTGCACATTGTTGAATGCTTGATAACATATTTAGTGTTGATGGATTATATTGTTTATACAGGGTACATGTTGTATTCATAATGGATACAGGTTGTTTAGAATTTTTTTTTTTTAAAAAAAAAAAAAACACGTTAAAGCATTTGGCTACCAAATATTTTGGTAGCCAAATACGTAATCAAATGTTTTGATGACTAATAATTTAGTAGCAAAACATGACCCAAAAAGTTTTGGCGACCAAATAATTAGTAGCTAAAACAATTGAGAATGAGAGAAAGAAACTATTGGCCACTAAATTTTTAGTCACGGAATGCACCTTTTGCCGACTAAATAATGTTTCATAGCCAAATGTGTACTTTCGGCGACTAATTATTTAGTAGCTAAAGGTGACACCTTCCCCGACCACAACAACTTAGTAGCCAAAAAGCCTCATTCGGCGACTAAAGGTTTAGTGGCGGAAACATAACATTTGCCGACTAAACTAATTTTAGTAGCCAAATGTGGTCACTTTCGGCGACCAAACGAAATTTAGTAGCCAATACTATCGCCGACAGGGCAAAGGCGACGACCTTGGCGACCAAATATTTTAGTCGCTAAATCGTTTCAGCGACTAAATATTGGACTTTTGGCGACCAATATTTTGGTAGCCAAAAGTGACATTTCTTGTAGTGTTGAATCAAATTGGATGGTTCTATTTTTCGAACTTTTTGCAAGTTTATAATTCATTTACATTGATATGATCAGTTTGCAATCGATGCTATCGATTTGACTATTACTACTTTTTTTATTCAACAACAATGTTCAACTTTTAATTTGTATGGCTCGATACTCCTAATGCCATCATCGCTATTCAATATTAATAAATCACCAATCTCTTATATATTATTGCATATAAATGAGTGTAAGTTGTCAAGTGTCCTGTTGTGCAAGTATTAGCCATGTGTCTTCAAATATCAACTGGACTATTAAAATGAGAAAAACAGCTCAAGACAGAAGAATTAACAATGCCACAAACAGTGAAAAATAAATAAAAATAATAAAATAAAAGCTGAAAAAAAGCAAGGAAATCATGATGAGTTTATTTTTTGTTCTTTAATCAGTAAAAGTACATATGAATGCGTGGATACGAAAGTACCCGGATGAAAAAAAAAAAAAAAAGTAGAGAGAAATTGACAAAAAGAAATAAATAGTAATTTTTTTTATATATATAATATTTCTTTTTCTTAGATCCATAATTGAGAAGGTAATAATGGTGATCACATGAGCTCATGAGTTCTCATGAGAAAAACATGGGAACAATTATGGTCTGCCCCCCTCCTTTCCACGTATTCAAACTTCAGAAACTCAGACTACGATCAAATTCGCTCAAAAAAATAATAAAAATAAAATAAAATAAAAATAAAGACTACGATCAAATCCATCATAACAAGCAATTTAGTGCTTTTCCATTTCCAGAAAATTGCTATTTATTGTGAATTTTTGTTTCAATTAATTACATTAAATTTGAGATGTAAGGTGTAGATTAAAAAAACTCGTGAGATGTGACCCATATTTAAAATGATTATAATTTGTAAATTTATTTTTTTGAATAAGTTTTCTACATATATAGTAATATCATTAGTCGATATTTGTAACATAATAAAAAAAAAACGAGGATAAAAAAAAAAAGAAAAAAAAAAGAAAAGGGAAACAATGAAACCCAAACCTCCTTAACACATTAAATTTTCACTTGTCAATTATTTCAATTTAAATTCTGATCTTTAAAGATAGTATTAATTCTAATTATTACTTTTTTTTGTTTTGCTATCTTTATTACCGTTGACAGCCACCTCCCATATGGAGTTGTTTGAGATGATCTAAATAAATACAGTTTTTGACTTTTTACAAAAACAATGTAAAATATGAGTTGGGTTTGAAGTGATGTGATAGAGAGATCATGTAATTTAAATAAAATGATGTGACTTAAATAAAATAGTGACTTTTTGACTTTTTTGAATTATGCCAAACTAAGCCTTACTGTCATCTATCAAGAACCCTCATGTTCCCGAGAAAAGTTAGGGATTATGAAATTTTTTTCATGAAAATGATCATGAAAGATTTATGATTTTTGGATTACCTTGATTAGTGTGTAGTACTTTATTCTAAGTGTAATCTAAAGATCACAAAACTTTTATGATTATTTCCATGAGAGATTTTTCATGATACCTAATATTGCTGCCTTTTCCCTAACTCACGGTTATTGCTTTATCTATTTTTTTGTCCACCGCTACTCCTCCCTTTCTTCAACTCACTGTTATTTCTCGCATTCCTTTTTTAGTACATAGCCACAATTGTCGTCCAACGTTGTTGACAAAAAGTGATTAATTTATCTAAATTATTCCTGTTAGAATTGATAAAAATTTAAATTGAAACAATTAAAAAATGACAACTTGATTTTTTACTGGGGGTCAAGCTCTGTTTTTTATTTATTGATTATTTATTTTTCAAAAAAAAAGAGAAAAAGAGTCTAGTTATTTCTCGTAAAAGGACATCGTTCTTTGGTGGAAGGGACTGTTTATTTCAAAAGTTGCATCACTATGATCGAAGTAGTGATCAGATCGCATGACATCTTCGAATGTGGTGGCGATAATGTTTTTTATTTTATTTAGAATTATTTATATGAAGATTAAATTATTAACGTGTTTCACTTTTGAGTTCTCTTTTTATTAGGTAATTCAATTGATACGTTTTTATAGTTTAAAAAAATTATTTGTACATTTTTATAATTTAAAAATAAAAGTGATACTTTTCAATAGTTTATGAAATTTAATAATACGTTTTTATAATTGAAGGAGCCAAAATAATGTTTTTTTTTAATAATTTAGATATCTCCATGTAAATAATCATTTATTTTTGCATAGTGAAAAGGTAGGAGGTGATCACGGTTTGAAAATTCTTTATGAGCGTGATCACAAGAGTCTTCATCTGCTGAGAGCCGGAAAAGAGGGGTCTGGAGATGGATCCACAAACACGGAAATTGTTAGCAACTTCTCCAAAATGGATTGAATCATAGTTTGATCTCAATCTCACCAAAATAAAGTGACAATAGCCTAAGATTATTGGACATCCAACCCTACTGTTGATAAAATTCAAATTCATAATCTCATTTCTAACCAACAAAATCTAAAAGAAAATTTATTGTCGAAGGCACGTTTTGTCAAAGGCATAGTAAGGTAAGATCTCAATTTGATATTTAGTTTGAGATCTCTAAAAATTTTGGATTACTACTGAGTGTCTTGTGTCCATGTGAGTGGAGAAAGAGAAAGAAGCAAAATAAGATGTAAGCATGTAGTAATCTGACATAAATAATATCAAAACTAGTCATACATTATCCAAATATTTGCCATTAGCTAAGGAAAAACATAGGAAAACAGATTTTTCTTTGTTGTGTCAAACATGATACTATTTGCTTTCCAGTTAATCTACTATTTATTTACACTTAAAAGTAGTCAAAATGCTGAGGGATCTGATATGGTGCATCTCTCTCTTTCTTGCTTAACTTAGGCACCACAGCTCTAGTCCTAACCTTCTGCAGATCACTGGGAACCTCAGGAGGCCTCACTGACCTAATCAGAGCCCAATTCACACCCTTGAAGAGCTCATGCCTCTTGATCTCCACAGAACCCTTTGAGCTCCCAATCCTCTTCTTTGGATTCTTCACCAAAAGCCTGCTAATCAGGTCTTGAACTCTCACCATCTCTTCATACTCTTTACTGCTACTAACACCTATTCTTGGGAAACTCAGTGGCTGCTTCAATATGTTAATGAGAGTCTTCTCGTTGTTCTCTCCTTTAAAGGGTGTTTTCCCATACAAGAGCTCATACAAGAATACCCCAAAAGTCCACCAGTCCACTGCACTCCCATGGCCTTGCCCTGAGATCACCTCCGGCGCCAGGTACTCGTGGGTCCCAACGAAGGACTTGGAGCGGGCGGTGATGGGTTCCGCCACCATTTCTGTATCATAGTTGTCTTCAGCATCAGCTTGTGCTGTGATTGTTGTTGTTGAAGTGTGATTATTAGGTTTGATTTTCTTGAGTGAGGATGATAAAAGGCAAGAGAGCACGGGTTGGATAGGTATGGCACAGGAAGGTGTTGAGCATTTTTGAATGTTGTCGTTCGGTTCAGATGGCGGGGGTGGGTCGGGTTTGCGCCTAATGAGCTTTGGGACGACATCGCATTTGAGAGAAAGGTCGAAATCTGTAAGCATTATGTGACCATCTTCTCTAACAAGCACATTTTCTGGTTTTAGGTCTCGGTAGACAATGCCCATCATGTGGAGATATTCTAGGGCTAATAGTGTCTCTGCTGCGTAAAACCTGTAACATGTTTATAGAAGTAGACAATACCCATCAATTAGTAGTCTTCAATTGTATAAATCAAAAGCAAACCATATAAACAACAAACAAAAGAAAAAAAAAAAAAAAAAAAAAGAACAGAAGAAGAAGAAGAAAAGAGAGATTAATATAAAATTAAAGTAAACCGACAAAATGTAATGGGGGGGTTATTTTGAGATATTCCTTCACTCTAAATAAGCCAGTGTGGAAGATCTTTGTTATGTTGCCTAAAAAGAAAAGAACGCTCCGATCGAAAATGTCGGAATTAGCATTCCGACGAACAAATTAGTCTTTTGGAAATAAAAAGCTCCTGAATTTCATAAAGCGTAAGTTATTAGAACATAATTTCTCCTTCAGTCTTGTCTTCCTTTTATAGAGTCATTCTCCATACACTCTCTCTACTATAACTTACTCTTCATCATTATCATGTTAGAGCCTATTTTCCTACTATACTTTCTAGAAAAGGGCAATCTACCCCTGGGGGGCCATGCTGACTTACACAATATACTTGGCTCAGAAATATGGCTTAGATACTCTTTACTCGGCACACTCTTCAGCCCATTTGTATTTACTTGGCAACGATTTATTTGAGCCTAGGAAGCCTTGTTTGAATTTGGCCTATCAAAAATGAATTTGAATGTGCCCGGTTTACCGATTAACAATTAATTTTACTCAACTCCCACAGTAATGAATCTTTACTTTTGATTTTTGTAAAGAAATGCATTACAAAAAATGCAAACAAACAACTAAGTTGTGAGAGAGAGAGATTCATTAAATGTGAAATGTCAGTAGGAGGAGGGAGGAGGGAAAATGAACGGTTACATGATGGTGTTAAATATTTTAAATGAGGGAATGCAAAGTAGTTTGGGCATCTATAACAGCTCCGATGCTGATAATGGCAGTCACAACAAGAAGCAAGCAGAGCTATGTCAGACACAGAAAAGAGACTTGTGAGGGGAGAGAGAGAGAGAGAAAAGTAAGCATTGCATCAGAGTGTGGGGGATTGTGGGTCTATTGTATTTTGGTTGCAAAAGAATCAAAAGCTCCACACCCTGCAATGCAACAAACACCCCCACCCACCACCACCACTAGTGAGACCCCCAGACCTCTCTCTCTTTCTCTCACCATGAAATGGAGCCACACCCCCCTTTGATTGTATTGTGGTCACACACCAAAGACACCTCACCTTTGAAATGGAGCCATCCATGCATGTGTGTGGGGTCCCATATAGCTAGAGCCTTGTGCTTGTATAATTAATATTGCTAATTTAACCACTAAGGGACATCCTAATTGGTAAGAAAATTTGTTTTTCTCTTTATTGATCAGATTTCGAATTCCTTATTATTCAAGTGAAAGTTCAACGGTTTAAGTGGATTGACTAACTTATTCCAATTTGACTTGTAAGAGTAAATCTTAAAAATCTTACTTTAGAGGTGTTCTGGACATCAAAATATATATATATATATATTGCTAATTTTGTGTCACCTATTCTGATAGCTTGATTCCATCGATTGCTGAGCTGATATAATCCACACACCCACCTACATATACGCATATGTAGCTAGTATGTTTATTGGCAAATTACAATCTAGTCAAACTTATAAAAAATAATTACAGATTTAAAAAGTTCATAATTTTAATTATTAATATTTATAAATTTTATCATTAATTTATAATTATATTCTTTTTAAATCATTGATTTGATATTTCCCCGATATTTATTTAGGTGAGGTTCCATTCAGTCTTTTAAAAATATTTCAGGCTTCGCTTTCTTGATCTAAATTATACAATTTTTAGTGATTTTTGAATAGATTATTTATAAATAAATAAAAAATAGATCGCCTATCAGGGACTATATATCACATTTATCTTTACAAAAACAAAAAAAGCCGTCTATTTTTCAAATTATATTTGCCTACTTTTTTCTCTAAGGAAAAAAAATCCGATTTAAACATGTGACTAATGATATTTTTACTATCATTATTTTTTGTTTTTAATAATTTTTTAAAAAAATAAATTTCAAAATTTTTTTATACTTTTAAGTTCTACTCAATTAGATGTATCATAGAATTAAAAATAAAAAATGAAGAAAATTGAAAAGAAGTCCACTAAAGAAAATTATTTTTATTGGATTTTTTTCAAATAAATTTTTTAGATCTTTCTACATATTCTTTTTGGAACTTTTTGTCTTAAAAAATTAGTGTCAATTTCTTGATCCGTTTAGTGTGTGTAATAGCCAAACTAAGTTTTTATTTTTATTTTTGAACTAATAGCCAAACTAAGTTGAGAATGAATAGATGATGAGTAGGTCAAGCTGGTTGGGTGGACATTTCCTCCATCCACAGAACTTAATCGTCTCGATTTTATCAGTAATGTTAGGTGTCATGAAATTTTTTTCATAAAAATAATCATAAAAGTTTTGTGACCTTTATATTACACTTAGAATAAAATACCACATACTAATTAAGGTAATCCAAAAATCATAAATTTTTCATGATCATTTTCACGATTCCTAACTTTTCTCCTATTTTATAATTGTCATGGAATATCTTTGTTAGATATTCAATGACTCACAAAATGTTTAGTTCCAATTTTTTAAAAATAGTTTTTAAAAAATTATACTTTCTTATTTTTCATGTTTTTTTGTTTTTACTGAATTTTTTTACTATTTTATGTAAATTTTTTACTTTTTAGACACACCTAACATAAACACACCTAAAAAGTAAAAGAATTGTAAAAAAAATCTTTTAAAAATTCATTAAATATCAAAAATACAAAAAAAATACAAGAATTCAGTATATTTTTTGTATTTTTATGTATTTCTTAATTTTTAAAAATATTTTTTCACATTTTTTTTCTTTTAAGATACATCTAAGTAAGGTACATTTAAAAAAATATTTAAAATTTTAAAAATATTCACTAAAAACAAAAAAAAATACGAAATTAAAAAACTCAATTTTCAAAAAATTTAATTCAGAAAACTCAAACCAAACATAATTTTACAATTTTTGAATGATGTGATGGAAGATATCAATCTACAATGCATAGATTAGGATGTAGGAAACAACATTAATAGTCAACAATGTAGCTTTTTTTTTTTCTTTTTTTCTTTTTTTATCATGACATAATTATATACTAGGAAACAATTTAATATTTGTAAATTAATTTTTTCCCACAACATATATAATTAACTCTAATGTAATTTTGATGCAAAAATTGTATACTTTTACAGCTGACGGTCAAAAGGCCCTTATCCTTCTGTAAAAAAAGTGTAAAGGGGAATGCTCATTTGAATGGTAGTTTTAAAATATGCTACTCATCTTCCAAGTAGGAGAGCTTTTGGTGATTATTTATGAAATTTTTGCCAAGTAATAATAATTGCATTTCAATGAGGCTGTGGAAAGCTGGACAGTGCACGAAGCCCCCGTGCTCCATTCATTTCCACCTCATACCTGCACTATACCTATGTCTCTATACGAGTAATGATATATGTTAAAAAAAAAAAAAAAGAAAAAGAAAAAATTGAAATAGGGCGAGATATTCTTTGAACTCTTATATGTTACACACTTAATTTTATATTTTGATTGTTTCAGTCAATGCTCTAAATTTTAAGTCAAATTATGATTGGTCTAGTCATTTAACGGCGTTTCGAAAATTGACAGGATTAAAATGAATTTTAATAGACGTACAAAAGTGTTAAAAACTAAAGTGAGATTTTAATAAAACTATAAATATGTTAAGTGTAATTAATATTAGGGTTAATTATCCAAAAAAAAACTCCCAAAATTTCACGAATTTTTCACTTTAAATCTCAATATTTCAATTTTGACAAATTAAACCCTAGAGTTTCATTCGTGTTTTAATTTGTCCACTCTATTTATCTCTATTTGTGTAAGATAACGGAGGGGGTTTAAAGTGAAAATACTAGAATTTAAAGTGAAAAATGTGTGAAATCTTGAATTTTTTATGTAATTTTAAAATTAAAATCACTAAAAATAAAAAGGATTAATTACAAAATAAACTAAAGATTTCACATATTTTTCACTTTAAACCTCTTCCGTTACCTTTTTTAAACAAAGATGAACGGATGGGGCAAATTGAAATATGGATGAAACTCTAAGATTTGATTTGTTAAAATTGAAAACTAGGGTTTAAAGTAAAAAATGCATGGAACCTTGGGGATTTTTTTTTTTTGGTATTAATTAACCCTTAATATTATCACATGGTTGTTCTCCATTAGTTTTGAAATGACATTATACAGTGGGTGTAGATTTTTTTCAGTCCACTGTGGGAGTGTTTGGTGTGGTTTATTTTGGCCAACTTATAAATTTTAATTTTGGAAAAGTTATTGTGGATTGTTTGGTTAAATTTATTTCAAACGGTTTATGATTCTAGCAACTTATTTTAACTCAAAAAAGTCGATTCTGAGAAGCTGTTCACTCCTTACTTCTGATTATTAGCTTCTGTTGTGGACATGTTAATTTAATGTTATATTTTTTGATTTTTTATTTTTTTAAAAATAGAAAAAGAGCCAAATAGACTATGGATTATTATCAATATTTTTATAAGAAATGTAGACAAGTAGTAAATAACAAAAAATTAAAGTTAATTCAAAAACCTATTTCACAACTTATTTAACAAATACTACTCAGCAACTTAAATCTATAATCCAACAGTTACACCAAACAGATTAAGAGCTTCTGATTAAAGTCATAATCTATGATCCATTAAGTTACAATCTATAATTTGTTTTAACAGGCACTTGATCAAAATATATTTTTGTCAATAATTTATTTTTAAATCATATTTACTATTGACAAAAATATGATCTAATCAATAGGCTATTGATTTGATAAAATAAAAAAAATTAAAAAAATAAAAGGTTATTGATATCCAATCAACGTGATTTTTATTTATTTATTTATTTTTGTAGGGATGAAGTACTTAACGAGCTCTATATATTGAACGATTCAAATTATAAAAATAGAACTTGTGATGGGTCTCACTAATCTAATAATTCATAAAGTGGACTATTGAGAA